ACTATTTCATGTTAAGAATAGTATGTGATTAATAAAATATAAGTAAGAAAAAACGAATATTCTATTTTTCAGGCAGAATAGATGTTTGATTAATATTTTGGATCATATGTATTTGTTTTTCCTAAACGATTCAATTTGATTAATGTAACATATCCATTCAATCAATTGTTTGTGCTACTTGAATAATATTCAATTCATATGTTTAAAAATGAAATTAATGAATGAAACTTTTTCACCTTAATTTTCTAGAGATATCAATGTTATAACATATAAATCTATTTGTTATAGCTATAATAAATGTCATGTAATCCGAATAATCTCTTTAGTGTAGTTAAAAAAAAAACAACTAAGTAGTATTTTACATCTCAGAGTACAATATATGAAATCGGCATCTATCACCTTAATGAATATTATATAATTTTAGTTATCTCATATAGATAGATGACGATTAATTGTTTAAAAAAAAACAGAAGTGGATTTTCTTCTATTTTTTCAAAATTGGGACAAACATTCATGAAAGTTAATATCTACATACTGTGGATCATTTGACTAATTATTAATAAACTCAACGCATTATTTAAAAAGAATCGAAAAGATATATAACAATCAACAGGATCTTGAAAGTTTAATCGGAACTGATATAAGCATATCAGATAAAATTAAAATAAAAAAAAAATGATGTGTGAAATTATATACAATTTCAAATACTATCAATTTTTTTCTTGAACAAATGGAATATTAAAAACTTGTATGAATCTATCAACAAAATTTTAAATATTAAATATAAAATTGATCTTATCAAAACCAATATTCAGAAAAGAAAAAAATCACATGTTATAAATAAACTGAGATAAAAAAAAAGAGCGGAAAGGATTGTCGAATCTATTCAACCGCAAAATTGGAAATGTACACTTTAAGATAGATCAAAATTTTACGTTTTAATGCATAAACTCTCATAATAAGCTCGGTACACAGACTCCTCTAAAAATAAACCTATTAATTTACCAACATGAGGACTATCTATAAACTATAGATTGTAATTAATATCTAATAATTACTCGAGATATTAAAGAGAAAAATGAATTTTTCTCATAGAGCAGCATACGTTCTACGATATACAAAAGTTTTGAAAGTCCAAATATGGTTGCTCAACAACAAGTTTATCCATCTACATCGAAACCAATACTTTAATATTTATTTTAAAACTTGAAATACTATGTTATCTTATATATAAAATTCTCAAAATATAATTATATAAAATGCGTTTTTAAAAAGTTCACGCTGGTCTGGAAAGTTTTGTTATAGTCATTGTAGATATGACACATGATGTATTTATTCCCCATTTTCGAGTGGAATAATCTTTGTCGAGAACAATCAACTGAATGAATTCATATTAATCCTTATAAACATTGATCAAACTTGAAAGACAAAAAAAAAAGCAACAAAGTTTTAGATTTAGATTATCCCATCATATGTCTTGATCATTAGATTCAATATGATAATCCTACAGATCTATTTAAATAAAGAAAACAATCTCATATTACACATTAAAATATTTCGTTTTTATACGACAAGAAAAATTTGAATCAATGACTTATATAATTTTTACTATACAGAATTATATGTGAAAGCAAGGATAACATATTATTTTTCAGAAAATGAATAAATATCTAGCAATGAAAAAAAAGTCTCCTCCACCTCTCATCGAATTTTAGCTACCTTACTTATTGGAGCTGTTGAAATTTCAGTACATATATGCTGTCAAAAATGTAGGTCAAAAACATGTTCTTGGCTCATTTGCTTAAGAAGAAAAACAGAATTATAATGAATGACATTGATTTTGTTTTTGTTTTGAATGTTTTTTTAATCTCGAAAGATTGTCAACTAAATGTTGCATGACATTTCATCAAATACATGATTAATTCTTGATATATTCACGTGAGAATTACATAAAATCTAGAGTCTTTCTTTATCCGAAAGATAAGTTCATTTGATAGAATATTGATGTTTCTATATCTTCGACATTGATAAGATCATCATCGATAGACTCAGAAAAATGTGTAACATCGATAGTTGAAACATAGCACAACATAATGAGAAATCGAAGAACTTCGAAAGCTTTTCCTTTGCAGAGTTATGACGCTTAGAAGAAAAGTAAATGCCATTCTTCATAATTCTAATTTGTACTTGAGCAATCAGGATGAGAGATCGTGTCCTTAACCTACATTCTTGGCAAAGTATATGCATATAAATTTTCAAATCTTTAGCAAGCATCAAAGCTGAGATTCGGTGAGAGAAGACGTTTGTTCGCTACTATCAATATAAACTTATTTACTACTTAAACTAATGAGTATAATCATATTCAATTGTTGAAATAATTTATTGTATGAATCTAAAAATGTATGTTTCAGATGTCTACATCGTTTACTACATGGAACATTTCATATTATCAAAAAAAAAAAGAAGAACTGTATATCCCTTGGTAAACAACTTTTTATTTTATATTCATCATCAATTGATCATTGGCATGTTGAACAATGACGTCATTCATTTGAAGATATGACTACAAAGAGAAATGATTTAATAGAAGATACTTTATTGCAAAAAAAAAAACATCTTGAAATTTGCTGTTCTTATTTCAAGAACTAATCGTATTCTTTCTCATTGTGACTCGAAAATCTTTGAAATTATCAATAAGAAACTTTTAGAAATGCATTTGACATGGAGAATGACATCATCAAAAATATATTTATCATCTATTGTACTTAAAGAAACTTTTGTTATCAAGTGTAAATGAGGTATTACTGATTTTTGTCACGTAGAGATCAAGGTTTATTCATGCTCAACAGGCGTTCAACCAGTCTGACATGCTTCGACTTGGTACATTCATAATTCTATGACATTAGGAATATTTTGTAGGGCTTTCATGAAATCATTGAATAGTGTTTTTTTTTGGCATACTTAGTGACAAAGTAATCAAATGAATCTAATATCTAAACAGCTTGTCAATTTTTATAACAAACGATAGAATTCTCATATATGAAAATCGGTATTTTATTTAAAAAACCTATGTAGTATGTGTTTTAAATAACTCTAACTCATTTCTCTAATAAACAAAACAAAAATAAGAAATCGAAATTTGTAAAGCGTAATTTGAATTATTTTAATATTGTAGATAAAATTTTTTTGTATATATTAACTTGAAATTTTAGTTTAGTGTCTTCTCTGATAAACATAGTAAAATGATGTGTTCAAATCTACTTAGCAGAACATCATATACAATTCAGACAACAATGAAGAAAAAATTTGTTAGTCTCGTTCGTATGAATTTGCTTTGATTTAAAACCAAATCGAAAAATCTACTGAGTTGTCTGACAAAGATTTTTTGTTTTTCGGCAACAAACTCTATTCTAGTTTTTTTGTGCTTCTCATTTGAAGAAATTCAAAAAAATATTATTTGATCCACAGGAATCATTCAGTAGATATAATGTTTAAATCATCGAAGCACGAATATTTATGCAAGATAAATATAAAAATAACAAAAAAAAAAGAAAAGTCTAAAACAATCGATCTCTTCCTGTTTTCTTTATTTGAATTTCTTCTTCTAAGTTGTGTTACCGAAAGGTTTACAACAAAACAGTATAAAATTTTTTTTTATTTAGCTGTTGTAGCTGGTGCAGTAGTTGTTGTTGTTGTGCCAGCTGTTTGTCGTTGAGCTTTACGTGATTTAGCTAATGTACCTTCACGAAAACCATTGCGAAATCGACGAAAAACTTTCTTCAAATGTTTCATTCGACCGGTGCCAGTTGTTTTACGACGACGAGACTTTTCACTCCATTGATATTTACGTGTTTTCGCAGATGGAAAACCACAAGCAGCACAACGTTGTCGTTGTAAATGATATGATGAACGGCCACATCGACGACATAATGTATGAGTCTTGCAATTTCGTTTACCGAATGATTGAGTACCCTTCGTCATTGTTCGGACGAAGAAATTCTAATTTCTAAAATTGAAAAAAAAAACGATAGATGAAATAAAAAAAAAACACAGAAACTAGCAATTGATATGTATATGAATTATATTGTTATAAAAACAATAATTCAAAACACCTATTTCATCCATATTTATTCGTAATGCATGGAATATTTAATGATTGGATGTAATAATGACTCGATTAACTTGAATTTTTATTGAAATGAATTAAAATTAAATGTTAAAAAAACTATGGTTTTTTATGAGATTAACAGCTGTTATTATTAGTAATTAATAAAAGAATATATATAATTCAGTCAAGAGATTTGACCGATAGTGACATCTTTTAACACTGAATCATTCCATTACAAATTTTTGAAATAATATTATTTCGATAGTATTAGTAAATGAGCAATCAAATTTTATTAAAATCAAACGATTTATTCTATCAATAAGGAGTTTGACGAGCTATATACATAGCTGAATACTGAAAGAGAATTAGTTAAAATATACAAATAAACAAAGCTAAATATGATAATTGTAGCAAAAGAACTAGAGTGTTTTCGCCGATTCTAGTATCACCAAATGAATTTATAACTGAAAACAAATCGGGATCAAATATGGTCGATTCTATATACAACATTTTATTATAATTAATTAGATTATTACCAGGTCGATTGGTAACTAACTGAGACAGTTACCAATCTATTCGATGCAAACTCGTTTTCGTTTATGAATTCATTTGGCGAAAATAGAAATTACCTAGCTTGATTTCTATTAATATTTCTATCAGTTTTATAATATTGTAGTATCAGGAATGTTGCTTTTTCTAATGGCTAACAATTTGAAGTGTGGAAAATGAGAAGATTAACACTCTACACCTAAGATTTTCTTTCACACTTGCATTCTTATGATGTTTACTTTTAATTTTTTATTTATTTCTTTTTATGATTGATGATGTTACAAGTTAACAACAAAACATCTCAATAAAAATGATTAAAATCATATTAATTGTTCTCTTATATTTAATTATAAGGTTGATCAATATTTCTATGATCTATTCGCCAACTTATTGTTGTATCATCTGTATAACCATTAGTTCCTCCACCTTTTCGATTAATTTTTTTAGTAAATAATAATTGTTGAACACGACTTTCAATCGTAGCTAAATAAAAAATAATATTTCGATCATTAATTAATTCATCCAATGATAAAATAATATTTCGATCACAATTAAGTTCAAGAAATAAATTATAAATTAATTGATAAGCAGTATCTAATATTTGGCGAAGATTTTTTTTAGCTATTTTAAGTGATTGAACATTCATATTAGCTTTATTTACAGAATACTGAAAATAAAAAATTGTTTTTTTAATTATAAAACATAGAATTTATTTCTAACTAACTTCAAGTGTTGAAAATATATCTTTGATAACAAATGAATCAATATTATCATTTGAAAAAATATTTAAAATATATTTTCGTTTATTATCAAGATCTTCATGAAGATAATCAAGCTATTTAAGAAATATAAAATATTTATTTGTTACTTGTATTAAAATTTTAATTACTTCGTTAATTAATTCTACAGTATATTCAAAAAGTGTAAACACTTGTTCTTGTTCATCGAGAAATGTTTCAACAGTTCGATTAAGTACTTTTTCTTTAAAAAAATCTTGATCAAAACCAATACGAAATAAACGACGAAATTCATCGGCTGTATATGCACTTTTTACTCCTTTCGAACCTATTTAATGATCATAATATCATGGATAAAAAACAAAACAAAACAAAACAAAAGATAATTTATTATTACGTTTGCCAGCAAAAAGTTCATTCAATCGAATTTGTTCTTGTCGTATATTGGATTTTTTTAAAATAAAATTTTTCGATGCATAATTACTTTCTGATAGTCGATCAAGTTCACGAATATCATCTAATAGTTTCTTTTCATCACGTTCATGTTGATCACGTATAGCTCGCATACGTGCAACTATATTTCGTCTAAATATTTATACATATACACCAACGAAAAGTCTATTTATTCTACTTTGTTTTCAAATAAGATGAATATCTTCTTAAATAATAATTCACCTAAGAACAATGTAAAGAAGAGCTAGTCTAAAGCACTATGTCAAATGTGGATCGAAAATTTTCGTGCTGAATTTTTTTAAAATTATTATTAGATCAGGTGTTGTTGGTTAACATCTGTTAATATCCAAACTCAAATATCAAGCGAGCTAGTACATTGTTTTTTACAATAAACTTTTAATCATTATTGTAATTTTCTGATTTTCCTTTACTCTTTTTTTCAATATCGCAGATGTCTTAATCAATTTAATGGAATAGAGGTCAGCTATACACTTCTAATCAATAGTTTATTCATTCAGTACTATGTGATTTCAGTTAGCACACAATGAAGTAGATAAGACCACAGGATGAATAGGTGTGTTCTGTATCTTGCTTATTCTGTTCAGTAGCTGATCAGAACAAAAATTTTACTATCATCTGTCTTATGCTCAGTCCCGCCTTCTAACATCACAAATCATATATCAATAACATGTCATTATAATATATGAATTACTTCTTTGTTGTATTTCTAGAGATTTAAATAAAATGATGGTGAAGAAATGTGTGCCAAAATAGATAGAATAAAATAATCTTCCTGTGATTAGGAACAGCAACTATATTGTGTTTTAGGTTTTAATCCCATACGAATTGCACTAATAACTTTTTTCTTAGTATTATACTATTCATTTAAAAAAGTAACTGCTTCATGATTAGCGTATCTTAAGTTTTCTAGTTGACAAAAGATGAATAATGCTCTAGATGTTGTATAAACATTGAGTCTTCACGTTTTTTTACTTAGTTAATGGAAAATGTGATACAATAAAACCTGTCTGTATTATTAAATGGAGGATAAGCGAAGGAGTTCTGATTTGTCTTTTGCAATCTCATAAAAATTTTCGTACCGATTTGCAAAACTTTCTGAACATTCAGATGTCAATTGACGTGATTCATCAGTTGCATTTTGCATAGCAATACGAAGTCGATTATATTCTTCAATCATTTCACGACGTTTATCTAACATATGTTTAATATCAGTACGTAATTCCGCATTATTTGCACAAATTTTGCTTAATTCAAGGTTCATCTAAAGATTAAAATTATTTTTAAGATAATTGAAAATAGAATACAAACACGATGTAATTGATTTTCGGCTTGTATTAATTTTGTTTTATTATTATTTTGTTCTATATCATATTGATTATTATATATTTTTCTATTTTGTTCTGAATCTTTTTCAAATTGTTTTATCTGAGATAATTAACAAAATTTTTTTTTCTGTTAAGCTTGTTTTCATATTCCAATATCACCTTATTACAAAGAGAATGAATATTTTTTTCAAGATTTATATTATCTTCTTCAATCTGTTTTACATTATTCCATAATTTTTTATATTCTTTTATTGGTTTTTCATAAGTTATCAAATTCTTACGTATAAGTAATTCTTTTTTTGAACGTTTTTCTATATTGAGTAGTTTCCTTAAGATTATGGAAATTATTATTATTATTATTATTTGTTTTTTTTTTTTGAATAAAAGAAAGATCTATTTTACTCTTGTATAAGAATTGAATTATGTGTACGATGTAAAAACCGTTTTATACGCATTTCTAAACGTCGATGAAGACTTTTAAGTTTAGTTTCTTCAATCGTAAGAGCAGCTATTTGATTTGAAAATTCCACTAATTTCATCCGATCACTATTCTAAAAAAACAAAAACAACAGTTATTTTCATTTTTTTAAAAATATATCTATCGTACTTCTGATCTATGACAAGTATTACATTCATTAGCATTAACATTGGTATTAATCGGAATAAATTCTAATTTAAAATAAAAAAACATACGAAAAAAGTTATACTTGAATATAGTGGTGTAGCCAAGGATGAGGACTAGATCGAGCGCCACTCTATCACCAGAAGCAAGATAAACGTAATAATTACCACCATTGATACTATATTGCATGAATCACCCTCTTCCCAAAATTGTAGGGTGCTGTCCTATCATCCACGATCTCCTAGCTACACCACTACTTGAATTTTAATCTACCTTCGACATTGTTCGAATCTTGAATTATTTTCATAGGCATTAGAAAAAGAATTTTTTAATAACGAAACATTAAAATAGTTTTTTTTTTTTGTTAAATTATATTTCCCGCATAAGATTATATGATAACACAAAAAAATAGAATATTTTTTATTTTTATAAACGAATAATATTAAAGTATAAAAGAAAAGAAAAAAAAGAAATATTTTTATATTGGCCGATGATTACGTTCTAATTAGAATAAATTAAATAAATAAAAGATATTCTTTTTTAGTCAAAAAACTTACTCGCAAAAGATCGAGTGCGTTTATGGTTTGATATTTGTTCTTCATCATCTACTAAAAAAATAATTAAAGATAGTTATTTTTTTTCTAGGTTAATTTATGAATTATATACATTTTGTATTTTTTATTTTTTGTTTTCGTTTTTTTTCTTCATTATCAATTGTTGATAGTTTAGATTTTTTACTTTTACTAGGATGGGTTATTATTTCATGTTCATTATCTGTAGTTTCTTGTTCTTTGAATTTTCTAGGTTTTCTTTTATTATTTTCATTATCATTTAATATTTCTTCTTCATGATTATATCTTTTTGATTTACTTCGTCTTTGTGTTTTTCGTTTATTATTAGTTGATAAATTATCATTATCATCATCGGATGTTTCATATGTATGATAATCTATTTTGGATTTTTTATATTTTTTAGTTCTTCTTTTATTATTTTCATTATCATTTAATATTTCTTTTTCTTCTTGATCATGTCGTTTTGATTTAATTCGTCTTTGAGTTTTTCGTTTATTATCAGTTGATAAATTATCATTATCATCATCGGATGTTTCATGTGAATGATAATCTATTTTGGATTTTTTATTTATTTTTGTTTTTCTTTTCTTGATAATGATTTGTGTAAAATTTGATTGTGAAGTTGTATTTTCATCATCGGATGTTTCTACTTGACGATCAATTGATTTTGATTGTTTATGTTTTCGAGTCTTTCGTTTTTTTTCAATTGGTTTCTCTAATGATGTTTTTGCTGCTGCTGCTGCTTCTCGTTCAGCAATAAATTTTGCAACACTTCGAGTCTTTCGTGCACTAGCAATGGCCGGCTTGGATTTAGTTTTAGTAGTTATACGTCTTCGAGATTTTACTGGTACTGTTTCTTGAACAGTAATCGATTCGCTAGAGTAGACAAACAAGTTTAATAGTTCTAATATTAAAAATGTAATAACTTACTGTTGATTTGGAAGATCTGATTTAGGAGCAGGATTATCATGTGTTGTATCTGAATGAAAGCAAGCAATAACTTTATACGAAATCAGTTAGGATTTATATCTCGACGTTCAATGAGCTGATTATGAGAGCATAAAAATTCCTTTTTGATGGATTAGATCGATCGGTCTCGCTAACTCAACAATTACAATGAAGTATTTGATAAATATATGCAACTAATTTTGGTGTTTTTATTATTAAAATATGCATACTATGAAATCAAAGTTTTTTTTTTTACTTTTGGCTTATTATGATTATTAACAAAGTACGCTAGATTAAACTATTTAAGAAAAGTTTTCATGCTATCATGATCAGCTCTTTAAGATTTGCAAACGTGTGTATATTCTAATGAAAATAGAAAATCATATTAGGATAACTTACGAGATATATGTTGTGATGATATTACTAATAGATTAGTGTCAGGAACGACTAATACATCATCATCTGGAATAGTTGGTCGTTTATATTTATTCTGATCATCATTTATTTGTTCTGTTTTAATGATATCAAGTAAAAATGTTTGACCAAAACGATGAGTATCTTCTATGGTTTTTGGAATATCTATATAAAAAAGAAAAATGATATTCGAACTTGAATGATAAACTTTATTTATTCTACTCGTTCGATTTTGGTCGAGTGATGAAAAAATTGTATTTATTGTTTTTTTATTTTTCTCATGATTTAGTGATGATGATGATGATGATGATGATTGTTCATTAATATCATCTTCAGGTGAAACAGTTGCATCATGAAGAATTGTTGGTGTAAAACAAAGTCGTGCTGGTATATTTCGTTGAGAATCTATCAATAATGTTTCAGGTTGTGTTACAGTTAAATATGAATGATACTGTTGATTAGGAGGAGCTTGATAAGTTCCATTTGGTTCATCGTAATATTCATCATTCTGTATTTCCCCATTAATCATAGTTTCTTCAGGTTTAACAACAAATGTTGTATCTACAAATTCTAAAGGTTGACGAGCAGTACTAAGTGGTAATATATGAATACTAAATCGTTCATCTCTTCTTAGTACAGAAATATCTTGATCACTAGGAATATGAACTTTTATAGATGGAACTATTGTAAGACGATTTGATTGTAATCGAGATTCTAAATATTAATTATTATGATTATTTTTATATAAAATGATTCTTTATTTACTTCGAATCATTTGTGTAAGTAATGGTGTTAATGTTTTACCATTCTTTGAAGAAAAAGAAAAAAAATCGAATTTTAAAATAAAAATGAATAGAAACAATATCATTTTAATTACCAATAATTTTGATATATGTTCTTCATCTTCTTCTTCTTCGATTGTTTCAATATTTGATGCTGGACTTTTTTGTACTACTCGAGGGTAATTATTACGAGAACGAATATCACCAGGATTAAGTAAATTTCTTTTTTTTTTTTAATATAAAAATTTTAAAAATAAATAAAAAGAGAAAAAAAAAATCTAAATCTAAATACATACTGATTCATTACAGAATGAATTTCTTTCCAATGTTCAGCTTCTTCATGAATGATTTGTTGAATTATATTACAATGTTCTTTAACAATAGTACGTACACTTTCCATTCTCTAATAATAAAAATAATTTGTTAGACAAATAGAAAAATACTATTACTTTATCAAAATAAATTCGAAGTGATTGTGATGCTAATTCAATCATATTATCAAGTACACGTAATTTATCATGATATTTTAATAGACGTTCATTGATATCATTTAGATTTTCTTCAATTTCAATATTATGAGAAAATCCACTTCTCAACTGCTTTTCAAATTGTACTAAATTTTTATACAAAAACAAAAAATTTATTTCTTATTTAGAATTTAATTCATCGATTTACCATTGATACTAATTTCAATAAGTTTACGAGCAAATCGACATTTATTACGTGTTGCTATAAATTGAGTTCGATTCCATGTTAATGGAAAATCGAATATAGTTCGATTATGAACAGTCATTACTTATTGAATAGAAAGAAAGAAAAAAAAAACACCGTATTGACAACAAAATAGGAAAATGATTTTTTGTTAAATTTTTATTACAAATACAGTTATCGAAATTGTCGTTTTGATCATATTTATTTTATCCAATAAATTATCATAGATAACAGATGTCACAAATTGCATTTGTCATATAGATATTCAATTCCACATCCTCTTAACCTATAATCATTATTATGTTGTCATATAAAGAAAATGAATTAGTTCTATAAAGTAATATGTACTTATTTTTTTTATTTTATTTTTTTTAAAATTTTTGTTGAAGAAGTCAAAAAAAACAGTCATCATATGTTACAATGAGATCAATAATAGAAGATTAGAGCGAGATGTAACAATAAGAAAGAATTTCAAAATTGTATATATAAAAGAAGTAAAAACATTGAGAAGAAAAACCAGAAGAAAGCACAAACAACTTCATTTGCTAGAATTTTTCATATTTCGAAATTCTACATGAATGATTCGACCAGTACAATGTTAGTAGATTCAATTATGAACTTGACTAGAACGATTTTTACAAAAGAACAATGCAAACAAAAGAATAAGATTAGTTTTAAGAACATGTCTAAGTATCTATTCATATGTTTTAACATCATTAGATAGCCGAAATTCTTTTCCATATCAATTAGTCTTCGTCTCGTTGTTTTTCTTGTTCTTATTAAATTTCTTATTTCTTTCTACGTATGTTTTTGTGCATCAAAAACAATTTCTGTTGTTGTAATGATTCTATTCATTCGTTTGATTCATCATGTTTATTTTTTTTACCAAGGTTACTCAAATACACATTCACCCTTGATTTTAATAGCAAATTTTTTCTTTTATTTGAACAATTCTATAAAATTGATATTCAAAATATTGATGAATACTTTTCTTTTTAATCAAATGTTTCAATTTAGAGAAGATTTGTTCATGGTTAAAATCAGAAAAAGTAGAAAGAATAATACTATGGATATTGAATATTGGAATGTAAATACGTGACATTGTTGTCTATACAAAAATGTTCGATCAAGTATTGTTTTCATACTTGAAGAAAAATATAATAAAGAGTAATTCAATTGTGTTTTTATTGTTCGTAAAGAAACCAACGCACTACAAAACAAATGATCAGTGAATATTCAACATAATGTGAATATCATTGCATATAATGGCAAGCAAACATTATGATGAAACATTCGAAAACCTCTCATAAACGTATGTTCTACATTCAAAAATCCGATGATGATAAGATGCAGATTTTTTTTTGTTAGTACAAATATTTATTATTCAAATGAAATGGAAATAATTCATTCATAATTCAAGAACAGAAACAAAATGGATGTTTGACATAGTGATCGTATAGATACAAAAAAAAAATGTTTTACTTTATTACGATTATTTATTTATTTCTTATGCTATAGCTTTGTAGCATTTATATAATTGTTATGGAGTATATCTAACATTTTATAGATACAGAAGTATTGTTCGGAATATTTCAAAAATTGAATTTTCTATGTAATCTGAAATAATTTGATATATACAGTAGTGAAGACAAGATGAAATATGTCCAAATTCCACATGGAAAAATTTAAATAGTTCAATTTTCTTTTGAAGCGCAAAATACTTCTGATTTTTTTTAATTTTTAATTCGGATTCTAATGTAGGTTTTAGTATGTATATCTCAACTATGATTTTTTTGTGAAATTTTGAAGTAGAATTTAATTGAATAAGAAATATGATACGGTTTTCATATTGTGTTAGGATAATATGTCATCGTCAACTAAATAATATGACTAATTTAAAAAAAAATAACGGAAATTTGGTTACTCGTATGGCTTAAATGAAATAAAATTATAGTATGAATTGGATTGAATTTTTGTTTTATTCTTTTACATTAATTATTCTTATAGTCATTTGGAATAATTGACATAATTTACTCTGTAGTTGTCATTTATAAAATAGTAACTTCATAATACAATTATATTGCTTATGGTAGACATCTGTTTTTTATAGCATATTAACGACACATGTGCAACCAATAGAAATTTTTTCCTATTCTGTAATAACATTGCTATGGTGGTCCGCAATGATTTGAATTTGCTTAGTAACTTATTTTGTATATTTTCTCCTTTTTTTTTATTTTCTTGAGCGAACGTAATCGTCCTCTCGCTACGTTCGAATGGGTTGCTTGTCATTGTGCCATGGTTAACGAGTATGCCTATTTTTTTTTCTTTTATTGACTCATTCGTTTTTATTTCGTCTTTTGCACTTTAAAAGCTTGCAAAAAAAACACAATTTTTATTCAATGTCTGATACTGTCGCTGTTAACTTTTCTTCTCCATCAATCATTTCTATTCAATCAGTATCTTCAAATTCATCATCATCATCATCGTCTGATAACAATGATTATGAAATAAAAGTTAACACTGGTTCTGACTTATTATTTGTTTCAAAGAAAAAACTTATTCAATTTCAACCAACAAATCCTGATATATTTCATTCATCAAATTTTAATGGACCATCATTTAAACAAATTATTCTTGTTTTTATTTTACTTGTTGCAGTTACATCATTATGTTCATATTTATATAAAGATTCATTAATTAATATTTTACTTATACTTGATACATTACCATGGTGGTGGACATTTCTATTTTTTTGTGTTTTATTCACACTAGTTTCTTTACCATTTGCTTGGGGCAAGTATAAATTAAGAAAAAAAAAAACAAAATAGACAACTAATTGAAACTTTTGTCTTCTAGGATATATATTATTAAATATAGCTTGTGGATTTTTATATGGACTTATTTATGGTATGATATTTATAGTAGTATATGTTAGCATTGGTTTATCATTATCATTTTATATTTGTAATTATATTTTAACACATAATTTTCGTATTATTAAAAATTTAAAAACAACATTTGAAAGTAGTGAAATTATTCAAACATTAATTAAAGTTCTTAATAGTGTAGATGGTTATAAAATTATTTTTCTTAGTCGACTTACACCGGTAAGAAAAATTTTTAATTTTTTTTGTAAAAAATATTTTTGAAATATTCTATTTCAATAGATTCCTCTTGGTTTACAAAACGGATTTTATTCAATAAGTAATATACCATTTCGCATTTATCTTTTTTGGTCATTATGTGGTTTAATACCAACACAATTTATTTATTGTTTACTTGGTTCACGTCTTCATTCAATGACAGATTTAATGTTAATTGATAAACGAACAAAAACTGTCGGAATTGTTGTTGGTCTTTGTGAATGTTTGATGACACTTGTTTTAACGTATTATGTATTTCATACAGCAAAAAAAGTACTGAATAAGTTATTACTTGAAACATCAGCATCGAGTGAATGTTTGATTGCTGTTAAACAATAAATAAGAATATTGTTTTGTTTTATTTTCATATTATAATAAATCATTTTTCATTTCTTATTATTTGAAACAATAAACAATCAATGAAAATATCAATATAAACTATAATTATACTTTTGAAACATTATAATTCTATCAAAAAGTTGAAACTTTATATTTAATGATGAAATTAAATATTTATAAAGAACAGCCAGTTTTTTATATTACTTAAAAAAAGTAAAGAAGAATTGTGGTTTTTTTAAATATAGTTTATGTTAGAATAATGAAAGAGTCACATTAAAGAAAATTATATGATAGCGAGAGTACAAGTCATTAAATCTATAATCTGTATTAAAAACAAAAATAAAATGATATTTACCGATGATATATCATTACTACATACAAAACAAAAGACTGTCAATAAATTGCTATGATTTGAAATTTTTCTCATTATAATTAATATATATTTGATTGAAATATCAATAATCAATATAAATATAAAATAGTATTCAAATCTTGTTTCAGATGAGTCTTTGGTGTGATAAATATCGTCCAAAAACTTTTGATGAACTTGATTATCAATTAGAACAAGCAGCATTATTACAAACAATTGTAAACAAATCATTCTTTTATATTTTCATCATATATTCATTGATAGTTTAGGTAGCTAATGGTGATTTTCCTCATTTTCTAATTTTCGGTCCTAATGGTTCAGGTAAAAAAACTCGAATACAATGTTTACTTCATGCTTTATATGGTGATGGTATACAATCTTTACGTATTGAAAATCATGAATATGAAACACCATCACGAAAAAAAATCGAAATAACTACAATTGGTAGTAATTTTCATATACAAGTTAATCCAAGGTCATTATTAAAATTCAATTATTTTCATCGAATAAAAATAAATCAAATACTTTTTTTTTTTTTTTAGTGATGTTGGTATTTATGATCGTGTCGTTATTCAAGAGTTAATTAAAACAATTGCACAAACGAAACAAATAAATATCAACGAACAACGAACATTTAAAGGTGCGTTAATATTGACATACTTAATATAAATATTGATTCATTACGTTCATATTTATTTTATAGTTATTGTTCTTGTTGAAGTTGATAAATTAACACGAGATGCTCAACATGGTCTTCGTCGTACAATGGAAAAATATGTTAGCTCATGTCGACTTATACTATGTTGTAATTCGACATCACGTGTTATACCTGCTATTCGAAGTCGATGTTTAGCTATAAGAGTTGCCGCACCAACTATTGATGAAGTTTGTCGATTGATAAATTTATTTATTATTTGAAAATTTTTATATCTAGATAAGTAAAATATTAAAAAAAGTAGCGAATTTTGAAGGAATTCAATTATCAACTGATTTAGCAAATCGTATTGGTGAAAAAAGTCAAAGAAATCTTCGAAAAGCTTTACTTATGCTTCAAACATGTGCTACACAAAAGTAAAGATTTTGATTCAAAAAATATGGAAAACTGAAGATTTTTTTTTTTTTTATTAGAGTTCCATTAACAAAAGATCAGCCAATCATGGAACCAGATTGGGAAATATATTTACGTGATACAGCACGAATGATTGGTGAACAACAAACGCCTCAACGGTAAATAATCTTTTTCTTTTTCTCATCATTGAAAATCTACGTTTTTGGTTTTGTAGGATTTTAGAAGCACGTGAACGTCTTTATGAATTAATTGCACATTGTATTCCAGCAGAAATTATTTTTAAAGTAAAATTTTCTGTTCTATTTTCTTTTTGGTAAAGAAATTCTATGACGATAAAAATTTATTCTTAGGGTTTACTTGAAGAATTATTAGCTAATTGTGATGATGTATTAAAAATTCAAATAACACAAATAGCTGCTGAATATGAACATCGTCTTCGACAAGGTTCAAAAGAAATCTTTCATCTTGAAGCATTTATAGCAAAATTTATGTGTATTTATAAACAACATATGCAATCAATGGCTTCTGGTCTTGATGAAGATTTTGATTAATTAAATATATGAACAATTATAATGAAAATTCTTTTTATATGTATATATGTGTCAGATTGATTAATAAAGATTCAAATGTGTATGTATGCAATAAAAGAAAAATTTTATTGTTTTCATTTATAGTCTGAATATGTAAGAGATATCGAATGTATGCCAAGTGTATCATATGAGTTTATAAATTCGATATTCATTCTATCAGTGTCAATATATTCCAAGTATATTGTTTCTTTATCATGTGAGCGCATATATTATTTTCCTATTTCAATCTTTTAGTGGCGTGCAGTATGATTAATTGATTGATTTATGAAATTGAGTTTTCAGAGATTTGATAATATGTAATTGTATTTGCACTACTATCCATGGCTTCACACGCTGACTAAACAAATGATGAAGATTTTTAGTGTCTATCATAATATAGAATTCTTTTGCTAATAATAATACATTTATAAATTTCAACTACCTGAGTTTGATCCTATCGCGTCAACAGTTTGTACTTCAGATATTTGATATCTTCATACAAATTTCAAACTCATTGTTATTTTTAGTTCATATTTTATGTTCGATTGATATTCAACATATTGTGACTATAGCTGATAGTTTGACAAAATAAAGGCGAAAATATTTTGATATTCTTGTATTTTTTAATAAGTAAATGTTTCGAAAATTTCTATATTTAGATTGTTGTTCCTGTCGAATATCGAAGTATTTCATGGATGTAGAACCATCATAAAAATGTATGTCGATTGATTTATCCAAGAAATATCGGAGTGTAAAATTGTCGAAATATATGTTTTTATGAAAGTTCTAATCTATGAAATTACAAGCGTAGAAAATAGAAATATTAACAGTCGATTACTGAAACGAAGATAACACTATCAGACAGTTAGTAACACATAGTAAGAGAGTAGGTGTGTGTGTTCTCTTCACTCTAATCTATTCACAGCCATACTCACATCCCCCAGAAAACAATAGATATGAAACGTGTACATGATTCAAGTCAATTTATTCATTAAGCTTCATCACGTTTTTTCAACTTTGCTCTTCATAAAAAAAAAATCTTTTTTTTCGCTTACGAATATAAACTCTATAAATGAAACAAACATATTAAATTCTTTATCATCAACTAAATGATAATTTGTGTTGTTTCGACATCTGCATAAGTCGGCATTTTTCTCATTTTTTTTTTGACCAAAGTACGATTTATCGTGTCGATTTCATTACATATCGATTAGTATTGATGGTAATTATGATCTTTTATCAGGTTTTACTTTAACTAACAAGTTCTTCATTTTTATTTCAAAAATTTGTATCATGTATACGATAGATATTTTACAGAAATTCAATAGCAATTTTTTCAGTTTTCTCATTGATACTGGCATCAAAATAATGCCAATGTTAGTTCTAATGTTGTTCCACTGGGTACTTTTTCTATGTAAAAATTCCATAGATCAAACAATAATCTCATTATGTTATCTTCTGTTGGTATTGATATGGCCTATTTAAGCTAATATTTTCATCAAATGAAAGATTAGTGTACTACATACTGAAACATTTGCTTCAGGAAGGAAATTACTTAGTTACATTTTTTATTGATAGTAATGATCTTTGTTCTGATTACAAGAATATTGGATATGTTAGTATATCATCATATTTTCGATACTATGAATAAATTACTTCTAACAAGAAAAGTACATTCGTTAGTCTAAAATTTCGAATGTCTCATATTCTTGTTTAATTTGATAATGATTTTAAATATTGTTGAACTTGAAGATATAATTGATTAGATGCTTTATTTGAATTTTCAGAAAATTCATTTGAATTTCCGGACATCCCTTTTGTTTCCTGTTTATCAAGGTATAGGAGGTATAGAAAATTATTTTTTCGAGCAAGGTTTAGCCAGTGACAGTAATGAGCAAGGTTTGGCAAATGGCAGCAATATATATTTTATGAATAGATATTTAAATATAAACATCATTGAATGATCAGCTGTACCAATTAATCAATATCTCCAATATCTTCTATACCTCCTTATACTTCCTATGCCTTCTTATACCTCCCTATACCTCCTGTACCTTGATTAATAAGAAACAAAAGGGGTGTCCGGAAATTCAAATAAAGCATCATACGCTATGATTACATCACGAAATTATTTGTCAAACTATGCAATCATGCGGAGAACCTTGAATATCAACATGCAACAAATGCACTAATTAGTTCAGGTAATAACAGCACTTTTTCAAATAAAACCATTTTTGAAAAAATAGTTTGACTGATTTCTCGTATTTTGCATCTGATTATTTCAATTTCAGTCAAAAAAGTCATGAATCCACCTGCTGCTGTTGAACGTTGGAATAATACAATTGGAATACCATGTTAAGGATTTGTGCATGATTTATTATATGTTTTATTTACAGATGCAAAAAGTTAATCAAAAAAAAAAAACAATAATTTGAAATTTATTGAAAATGCTTACATATCATATCATGATAAGACGATTATCATCTTTTATTTTTCTATTTTATTGAAGAGTGTAGAGGCAAGAAATAAATACATCTATTCATTGAAAAACAGTGCATGAAAATCAATCAAATATCAATAAAAATTCTTATTATATAATTCATTGAATTTTTTTTGTCCGATAAAAAAATATTAAATGATACGAAATAATTTCATTGATTTTTGAATATAAATGAGCGAGGGATTTTATTTTGCAAATTAGAAAACATAAATAAATAACGCATTGTTCAGCATAATTGAAATCAAATTCTTGAATTCAATTATTCAAAGAAGATGACATTTAATTTGAGTTGAAACCAAATTCAATATTCCCGGTAATATATGATGTTTTTGCTGCATACATGGCTATGTTGGATGAAAGAAACAAAAAGATGTATGCATACAAAGTTTTTACAAGATGTGTACGAATGATCAAGAAGTGGAAAATTTCGTCAGACAAATATTTATTTCTCAATTAGCTTCCTAATGATAGAAGAAATCCATAAACATTCTT